CTGAGTTTGTTTTTTTTAATAATTTATATAAAATTAATTTTATATATTTCGGTGTTAATTTTAAAGTTCTTTATTAAAATACACCCTACTATTTTTCGAATAGGCATTTTTAATTCAAGGTTCGTTTTGATACATATTGAAATTGTAGATTTTATTGGAATTCTTCAATTAATATTTGATTATATAGTGTCAGCTGTCAGTCACTTTGGAAATATTTTACTACAGGTACCCTACATACAGTGTTTAATACTTTCCGTACATAGTTCGTTTTGTACTTTTCTACTATCATATAGTAATTTTCATTACATATTATTTTTGGGTTAACTAAAAAGTCACATTCCTTTGTTTATTGTAAAAGAAAATAAGTACAATGGGTTCCCAAATATGTACTAGATTCATTCACGAATCAGAAAATTTAATGAGTGTTTGCAATAAATTTTCAAGTCTAGGTTGTGATGATTTGACTGAATCTCTTTTAGAGGCAAAACTGCAAACACTAGAAGAGGATTGGCAGTCGCTACGCCGTGCTTATGAAGGCGTATATATGGCTGATGACGGAATCGTCAGCCCAGATTATAAAGCGAATGCTAAATCCACTTATGAAGAATGTAGGGATAGGTATCAAGAGACCAAAGCTGAGATGATAGATTTTATAAAAATGTCCAAAGCTTCCGCTGAAAACAATCAAAGAGACAGTGGTCCTTCTCATTCCTCAGCATTTGATCCATCTAGTTACCATCCACTAAACATGACTTATGAAGCGCCAGATATGGGTGTCAACGTTCCACCATGCGATGCACCTGACTTTCATGGTTCCTATGAAGAGTGGCCTTCATTTAGAGACATGTTCAGTGCTGTTTACATCAGTAAAATAAGAATGCCAGACGTACAAAAGTTATTGTACTTAAGAAGAAAGGCAAAAGGTGAAGCAAGTTCCATTGTCAATAAATATCCATTGACCAATGAAAGTTTTTCGTTAGCATGGGGTGCTTTACGAGCACGCTACGAAAACAAAAGGGTTCTTGTAGATATACAATTGAAGGCTCTATTCAATATTCCACCTGCCAAAACTGAATCCGCTGAAGCGATTAATAAAATACAAACAACAATAACTGATTGTCTGGCAATGTTGTCTTCTCATGGCGTACAGGTAGAAAACTGGGATCCAATCCTCGTTTACCTTTGTTCGACAAAACTACCTAGTGAGACCCTCGCTCTTTGGGAGCAATCTCTAACGATGAACTCGATATTGCCATCATGGTCTCAAATGGAGCAATTTCTAATAAAAAGACACAGAGTAGTAGAAAGAGTAGTAGGAATACTTAATGAAGGAAATCAAATGAATTATAATTCTAATAATTCCAATAGGCAGAAAAATAACAAAGCCCTTCGGGTGCCTCATTGTAAGTTATGCGACAAAAATCATTACTTAAGATTTTGTCAAAAATTTTCAAACTTCTCTAAGCAGCAACGAAACGATTTTGTCACACAGAATCAAATCTGCATTAACTGTTTATCACCAGTTCATAAAGTTTCTGAATGTACAAGTGTAAACAGATGTGATCAATGTGGTAATAAACATCACAGCATGTTACATTTGAATAAAAATGATAATCTAAATTCTCAAAAAAAGATTACTAAGAAAAATTCGTCGGTTAACGCTTTCCATGCGGATCCGGTAGATATTGAGAATGAAGACACAGAAGAAAGTACTGATCTCTCAGGAAATCCATGCTTTTACAAATCAACTACAGATGCAACTAACACTCAGGCCCATTTAACCGTTAATCAGGATGATATCTTACTTCCAACAGCGCTTGTTCAAATTTTGCACTGTGGTGAGCCATTTACAGTCAGAGCACTGATAGATTCTGGTTCAAAAAGATCATTTCTGACTAATAGAATTTCAAAAAGGCTAAACCTGATTACGGAAAATGCAAATTTCGAAATCTGCGGATTGGGTGGTACAGTAGTAGCTAATGCTAATAAAGTGAGTTCTATTACTTTATACAATCAAAGGCATGAATTCAAGTTAACAACAAAAGTCATAATTGTTTCCAATTTGACAAATTTCATGCCTAGCTGTTCAATAGAAATTTCTGATCTCTCCGACATCAGAGACTTATGCTTAGCTGATCCCAATTTCTTAATATCTGCTCAAATAGATATGCTGCTAGGAAGTGACATAATTCCTCACATCATACTTGATGGTCTAAAGAAAAACGTTTTAGGTAATTTGATTGCTCAGAATTCTATTTATGGCTGGTACATTTACGGTCCAATGAAATTGCACACAATTTCACTTACGGCTATAGACAACTTACAAAGCGAAAATGAAAGTGTTAGCTCAATATTAAGAAAGTTCTGGGAAATAGAGGAAATTCCGCAAATAGCTAATCAATCAGAAGCAGATCTCTTTTGCGAAAATCTATATAAAGAGACAACTTCTCGACAGTCCGATGGTAGATATGTAGTTAAACTTCCGTTTAAAAGTGAATTCCCAGAATCTGAGTTTTTGCAAGCGTCTCGATATTTGGCAAAGAAGCAATATTTACATATTGAACAAAGGCTTGAAAAACATGACACGCTTATGCAAGTTTATAATGACATCTTGAATGAATATATTTCTCTCGGTCACATGAGGAAATCAAATTCTCAAGAAATGTGTCATAATGGAAAGTTCTTTTCATATTATTTGCCACATCATGCGGTTTTTAGACCTGAAAGTGCGTCAACAAAAGTTCGTATCGTTTTCAACGGATCACGAAAGACAAAAAGTTCAAGGTCATTAAATGACGTTCTCCACGTCGGACCAACCTTACAGGCAGATTTAATGACAATCATTCTAAATTGGCGTTTATATAAGTATGTCTTTAATGGAGACATTGAGAAAATGTATCGCCAAATATTAGTTCATGAATCTGATCGTTCGTATCAAAAGATTTTGTTTCGGAAAAATATTTCAAGTCCAATTGAAGATTTTGAGTTGACAACGGTAACTTTCGGTATAGCATGTGCGCCTTATTTGGCAATTAGGACCCTTCTACAATTAGCATCAGATTCTGAAAAAGATAGTCCTTTATCAGCAAGAATTTTGAGAAAAGAGACATATGTTGACGACATATTGTCCGGAGGCCATTCATTGTCATCGGCAATGGAAGCTCAAAAACAGCTGATTGATACTTTAAAATCAGCAGGGTTCCCATTAAAAAAGATAACGGCAAATCATCCAGATTTGTTGTCTCAGATATCATCTGATGATTTATTGAACACAGAATTTTTAAAGCTCTATGATTCAAGTTCAACAAAAACTTTGGGAATTCGTTGGAATGCTATAAGTGATTCCTTCACTTATAAAGTAGAACAATTAAATTCGACATCATCGGCAACAAAAAGGCAGATTCTCTCTGCTGTTGCTAAACTTTTCGATCCCGCAGGATGGCTTACGCCTATTATTATTCAAGCCAAGATTCTTTTACAAGAATTATGGCAAGACGGGGTCGGTTGGGATGACGAGGTCAAACCACAATTTCTTGATAAATGGAAAATATTTGTTGATAGTTTCCCTACTATCGAATCCATTGAAATTCCAAGATGGATCCACTACCATCCTCAATATAATATCCAAATACATGGATTTTGTGACGCTTCTGAGCAGGCTTATTGCGCTACACTATATGTGGTATCCGAGAACTCTGGTATTCGGTATTCACATCTGCTTTCTGCTAAAAGTAAAGTTGCGCCCTTGCAACGGATAAGTTTACCTCGACTTGAGTTATGCGGAGCTCTTCTGCTTTCCAGACTCGTAAAGCAAGTACTTACGAACCTTCCATTCTGCAGCCCAAAGCTTTACTTATGGTCAGACTCAACCATTGTTTTAGCTTGGCTACAAAAACCTCCATCAGTCTGGAAAACGTATGTAGCTAACAGAACAACTCAGATTATAGAGAATGTTGGTAATGCCAGTTGGAATCACGTTCCAACGGATCACAACCCAGCTGATCTTGGCACTCGCGGTTGTAAACCACAAGATCTTGTTAACAACCCATTGTGGTGGTATGGACCAATGTGGCTCTTGGATTCCCAAACAAATTGGCCCAAATATAGTTCTCTACCTGAAGTTCTTCCGGAAAAAAGGAAGATTTCAGTTTGTTTTTTAACACCGGCTGACAACAGTCTAATCGATAGATTCTCCTCTTATCCTCGAGCTCTTGCTGTTACAGCTTACGTGCTCAGGTTTATTAACGCTATCAGGAAGAAAGATTTAAAGGTTCAGCACTCTAGTTTGACTCTTAGCCTTACGGAGCTTAAAGAATCAAAAGTTATGCTGATCAAACTAACTCAACGAGTTTATTATCCCCAGGAGTATAGTCAGCTCTCTGACGCGAAACTAATTTCAAAGAAAAGTTCTATTCTCACTTTGAACCCATTTCTGGATTCGAATGGAACTATGAGAGTTAACGGTAGATTAGCCAATTCATGCCTAACCTATGATGAAAGGTACCCTTTCATTATTCCAAACTCGTCTAACTTCTGCAGAATGTTTCTTGACTTTACTCATAAAACTCTGTTGCATGCTGACATTTCCCTAATGATGAATGCAATTCAAAGTCAATTCTATATACCAGGACTTAAAAGAACTGTTAAAAAATGTGTTCACCATTGTTTAGTGTGCGTCCGGTATAAGCAAAAGCTGAAGTCTCAGATTATGGCAGCTCTGCCCCCGGAAAGATGCTCCCTTTCTTTACCATTCACTTATGCGGGTGTTGATTTTGCGGGACCTTTTCAGATAAAATCAGGTAACTTGCGAAACTCTCCTTATATGAAAGGATACGCTTGTATATTTGTTTGCTTTTCAACAAAAGCTATACATTTGGAAGCGTGCTCTAGCTTATCCTCCGACGCGTTTTTAGCAGCTTTCGCACGGTTTACGGGTAGAAGAGGGTTGCCTAAACGCCTTATGTCCGATAACGGCACAAATTTTCTCGGCGCCAGTAGATCGTTGCGAAAGGAATCTCTCTTATTTTTACGAAAATCGGCAGAAGATATAAGTAAAAAATATGCAGTCCATGGTTTTGAGTGGAAGTTCATTCCACCTAGTGCTCCACATATGGGAGGTCTTTGGGAGGCTGGTGTAAAAAGTTTTAAGATTCACTTTCAGAAAATAGCCGGCAACCAAAAGTTTAACTTTGAAGAGTTCTCGACTCTATTAACCCGAATTGAAAGTGTCCTAAACTCCAGACCTCTTTCCCCAATGTCCGAGGATCCTGAAGATTTACAAGCCCTAACTCCTGGTCACTTTTTAAGAGGAGCTCCATTGATGTTCGCCCCTGAACTGCCTTCAGAGAATTTATCGATAATAAACCGATGGGAGCGGCTCAAGGCCTTTCATCATCGTCTTAGTCAACGCTGGAAGACTGAATATCTTCATGAACTTCACAAGCGTTACAAATGGAAAAACCCACAGCGGGATTTGCAGAAAGATGACTTTGTAGTCATAAAGGATGAGCTCCTACCTCCAAATGAGTGGAAAATGGGACGAGTTGAATTAGTCCATACTGGAAAAGATAAACGCGTTCGCGTAGCTGACGTCCGAACAGCGTCTGGAACCGTTACCAGACCAATAGTCAAACTTTGCATGCTTCCGATTTGTGATAAGTCAGTAGATTGACTAGGATTGTATGTTCTGTATGTCCTATATGTTCTGTTCCAATTGTTCAAATTTGTGTTAGCGAACCCATTACTGCTGCTTTGTTTTGTTCTTCTTTTCCCTTTGCAGATGGATCAGTTCCCAGAGTCAGAAATGTGCCTGGTCTGCTTCCGCTACCACCCTCTTCGCTTCTGCAAGCAGTTTAAACAGATGACCGTAAAGCAGAGAAAATATGTAGTTCGGGTACATCGATACTGCAGTAACTGCTTTGCCCGGACGCATCTAATTGGAGGATGTACGTCAATGGAAGCCTGCCAGGAGTGTGGAGATCTCCATCATACTATGTTACATCCGGAACAAAATCAACGTCGACAGCAATCACGTCGTCAACAACAACTACAGCCTCGTCAACAACCACGACTTCAGCAACAACAACCACCAATTCGTCAACAACAACCACAACTTCGGCAACCGCAACCAACACAACGTCGCCAACAACAACAAACAAGGCGTCGCAGACAACTACAACGTCGTAGTCGACAACAACAATCACCTCAACGACGTCATCAACCCCAACGTCGTCGCCAAACAACCACACAACGCAGCCTTCAACAACCGTTACGTCGTCGTCAACGTAACATACGTAGAAGGACTGGTGCTGCTCCAGATGCGGCGGTGTAAGCACGACCCAAGCCGGGCTTACGCGGTTAAATAGAAGAAGAAGTCAGTCTTCGACTAGAATCCCGAGCGCCAGCGGCCATTATAAACTTTTAAAACAATTAAAACAAAAAAAAATAAAACCAAACATTTAAATAAATAAACAACAAAATTTAAATAAAACAAAATCACAAACGTTTTTAAAAGAACAACTAAACAAACATTTACACAAACAAAAAAAAACAAACTTAAAACAGTGAAGTGGTTCCCACACACACAAATATTTGTTTAAAAACAAAAATACAAAAAAAATTTATACAATTAACACTGAACAAATAAACTAAAACAGTGAAATCTCACAAAACAATCAAATTGTACAAAACAAAACATTGAAATATTATAAACAACAAATAAATCCAAATTACAATACAATCTACATTTACATTACATCTTTTTATTTTACTTATTAACTGGTCTCCACAGCTATTGAAGAGAAGTAAGTATATTTCAGGTTCCTTGAAATTAGTACAAGTCGAAATAAATCTATTTCATTTGTTACATCTCTTGTAACAAATCTACAATTTTGTTTGAGTTATCCAAACAAAACAACAAATTCCCAATTGTTCCAATTGGAAAATTGTTTACTGTGAAAATAATTCTACCGATCTATCCAATTGGCCATTTTCCAAAAATACATTATGGAATAAGTTATATACGAAAGCAAATGGCAACTATAATGCAATAAAAAGATATATAAACGACTTTTATAACATGAAAACTATAAAAGTTATTTGCAACCATATCGGAGCCTTAAATTACCGCATTTTTGAACCTGTACCAATAAATATACCGATCTATCCAATTTTTGTAAAATTTCATTATGCCACAAATTATACACCAAAATAAAGTGCAACTGTAATGCTTTAAACATAGAACAATAATTCTACCGACCCTTCAAATTGACCATTTTTTAGACGAACACATTGTGCCACAAATGATATACCAAATTAAAGTGCAATCATAATGCTTTAAAATGATGCATAAATGACTGTCATAGCATGAAAACTGTCAAAGTTATTCACAACCATATCGGAACCTCAAATTACCGCCTTTTTAAACCTGGGAAAATAATTCTACCGATCTATCCAATTGGCCATTTTCTAAAAATACATTATGCAATAAATTATATACCAAAACAAATGGCAATTTTAATGCTTTAAAATGGTGCATAAACGACTGTCCTAGCACGAAAACTGCCAAAGTTAATTGCAACCATATCGGAACCTCAGATTACTGCGTTTATTAAACATAGAACAATAATTCTACCGATCTATCAAATTGACCAATTTTTAAAAATACACATTATGCTACAAATGATATACGATATTAAAGTGCAATCATAATGCTTTAAAATGATGCATAAATGACTGTCATAGCGTGAAAACTGTCAATGTTATTTGCAGCCATATCGGAACCTCAAACTACCGCGTTTTTAAAGCTGTGAAAATAATTCTACCGATCTATCCAATTGGCCATTTTCCAAAAATACATTATGGAATAAGTTATATGCCAAAGCAAATGGCAACTATAATGCAATAAAAAGATATATAAACGACTGTTATAACATGAAAACTATAAAAGGTATTTGCAACCATATCGGAGCCTTAAATTACCGCATTTTTGAACCTGTACCAATAAATATACCGATCTATCCAATTTTTGTAAAAATTCATTATGCCACAAATTATACACCAAAATAAAGTGCAACTGTAATGCTTTAAAATGATGCGTAAACTAATGCCCTAGCATGAAAACTGTCAAAGTTATTTGCAACCATATCGGAACCTCAAATTACCGCGTTTTTAATCATAGAACAATAATTCTACCGATCCTTCAAATTGACCATTTTTTAGACGAACACATTGTGCCACAAATGATATACCGAATTAAAGTGCAATCATAATGCTTTAAAATTATGCATAAATGACTGTCATAGCATGAAAACTGTCAAAGTAATTCACAACCATATCGGAACCTCAAATTACCGCCTTTTTAAACCTGGGAAAATAATTCTATCGATCTATCCAATTGGCCATCTTCTAAAAATACATTATGCAATAAATTATATACCAAAACAAATGGCAACTATAATGCAATAAAAAGATATATAAACGACTGTTATAACATGAAAACTATAAAAGGTATTTGCAACCATATCGGAGCCTTAAATCACCGCATTTTTGAACCTGTACCAATAAATATACCGATCTATCCAATTTTTGTAAAAATTCATTATGCCACAAATTATACACCAAAATAAAGTGCAACTGTAATGCTTTAAAATGATGCGTAAACTAATGCCCTAGCATGAAAACTGTCAAAGTTATTTGCAACCATATCGGAACCTCAAATTACCGCGTTTTTAAACATAGAACAATAATTCTACCGATCCATCAAATTGACCATTTTTTAGACGAACACATTATGCCACAAATGATATACCAAATTAAAGTGCAATCATAATGCTCTAAACTGATGCATAAATGACTGTCATAGCATGAAAACTGTCAAAGTAATTCACAACCATATCGGAACCTCAAATTACCGCCTTTTTAAACCTGGGAAAATAATTCTATCGATCTATCCAATTGGCCATCTTCTAAAAATACATTATGCAATAGATTGTATACCAAAACAAATGGCAACTAAAATGCAATAAAAAGATGTATAAACGACTGTTATAACATGAAAACTATAAAAGTTATTTGCAACCATATCGGGGCCTTAAATTACCGCATTTTTAAACCTGTACCAATAAATATACCGATCTATCCAATTTTTGTAAAAATTCATTATGCCACAAATTATACACAAAAACAAAGTGCAACTGTAATGCTTTAAAATGATGCATAAATGACTGTCATAGCATGAAAACTGTCAAAGTTATTCACAACCATATCGGAACCTCAAATTACCGCGTTTTTAAACCTGGGAAAATAATTCTACCGATTTATCCAATTGGCCGTTTTCCAAAAATACATTATGCAATAAATTATATACCAAAGCAAATGGCAATTTTAATGCTTTAAAATGGTGCATAAACGACTGTCCTAGCACGAAAACTGCCAAAGTTAATTGCAGCCATATCGGAACCTCAGATTACCGCGTTTATTAAACATAGAACAATAATTCTACTGATCTATCAAATTCACCAATTAGTAAAAACACACATTATGCTACAAATTATATACCATATTAAAGTGCAATCATAATGCTTTAAAATGAAGCATAAATGACTGTCATAGCATGAAAACTGTCAATGTTATTTGCAACCATATCGGAACCTCAAATTACCGCCTTTTTAAAGCTGTGAAAATAATTCTACCGATCTATCCAATTGGCCATTTTCTAAAAATATATTATGCAATAAATTATATACCAAAACAAATGGCAACTATAATGCAATAAAAAGATATATAAACGACTGTTATAACATGAAAACTATAAAAGTTATTTGCAACCATATCGGAGCCTTGAATTACCGCATTTTTAAACCTGTACCAATAAATATACCGATCTATCCAACTTTTGTAAAAATTCATTATGCCACAAATTATACACCAAAATAAAGTGCAACTGTAATGCTTTAAAATGATGCATAAACTATTGCCCTAGCATGAAAACTGTCAAAGTTATTTGCAACCATATCGGAACCTCAAATTACCGCGTTTTTAAACATAGAACAATAATTCTACCGATCCTTCAAATTGACCATTTTTTAGACGAACACATTGTGCCACAAATGATATACCAAATTAAAGTGCAATCATAATGCTTTAAAATGATGCATAAATGACTGTCATAGCATGAAAACTGTCAAAGTTATTCACAACCATATCGGAACCTCAAATTACCGCCTTTTTAAACTTGGGAAAATAATTCTACCGATCTATCCAATTGGCCATTTTCTAAAAATACATTATGCAATAAATTATATACCAAAACAAATGGCAATTTTAATGCTTTAAAATGGTGCATAAACGACTGTCCTAGCACGAAAACTGCCAAAGTTAATTGCAACCATATCGGAACCTCAGATTATTGCTTTTATTAAACATAGAACAATAATTCTACCGATCTATCAAATTGACCAATTTGTAAAAATACACATTATGCTACAAATGATATACCATATTAAAGTGCAATCATAATGCTTTAAAATGATGCATAAATGACTGTCATAGCGTGAAAACTGTCAATGTTATTTGCATGCCATATCGGAACCTCAAACTACCGCGTTTTTAAAGCTGTGAAAATAATTCTACCGATCTATCCAATTGGCCATTTTCCAAAAATACATTATGGAATAAGTTATATACCAAAGCAAATGGCAACTATAATGCAATAAAAAGATATATAAACGACTGTTATAACATGAAAACTATAAAAGTTATTTGCAACCATATCGGAGCCTTAAATTACCGCATTTTTGAACCTGTACCAATAAATATACCGATCTATCCAATTTTTGTAAAATTTCATTATGCCACAAATTATACACCAAAATAAAGTGCAACTGTAATGCTTTAAAATGATGCATAAACTATTGCCCTAGCATGAAAACTGTCAAAGTTATTTGCAACCATATCGGAACCTCAAATTACCGCGTTTTTAAACATAGAACAATAATTCTACCGATCCTTCAAATTGACCATTTTTTAGACGAACACATTGTGCCACAAATGATATACCAAATTAAAGTGCAATCATAATGCTTTAAAATGATGCATAAATGACTGTCATAGCATGAAAACTGTCAAAGTTATTCACAACCATATCGGAACCTCAAATTACCGCCTTTTTAAACCTGGGAAAATAATTCTACCGATCTATCCAATTGGCCATTTTCTAAAAATACATTATGCAATAAATTATATACCAAAACAAATGGCAATTTTAATGCTTTAAAATGGTGCATAAACGACTGTCCTAGCACGAAAACTGCCAAAGTTAATTGCAACCAT